TTTTTTTTTTTTTTGCATTATGACTGAGCGCTGTCATTAGTCAGAAAATAACTGATGGCAATAGTGAGAAATTAAAGCTCATCTTCCACTTCTATTAAAACAGTAAAACAAATAAACATTCTAAAACTTATAAGTGTAACTGCAATAAACTAGCCAAACTTTAAACTCTAGATTCTTGTTAAACACAAAAGCTCTTAGTTCTTGACTCCATAATTTTTCAAACTAATAAACTGTATGTCCAATAATTTTCCTCTCAGCCATTTAGATTCCATCTTTTAGAGTAAAAGTACGCCAGTGTACCGTGTACTAGTGCTTGGAATTCGTGGAAGTGGGAAGCAGACGCTATTAAAGCAACTTCGAATTTTATACGGCGTTGGATTCACCGACGAAGATTGTGTCGCTTTCAGAGAAGCCGTTTATAACGCTACAGTAGAAAGCTTTAAAAATGTTATCGCTTCAATGAAGAGTTTAGAGGTAAGTTCGGGTCCACAGTTTCCTATTACGTATCAGCAATAATGCAAAAGCAATTGAAGCCAATTCTGCATCAGGCAACACAGTCTTAGCTTCGGCCCCGACTTAAAAACCATAAAATCTAATTAAAAGTGCGCTCATCATTAGATTAGGCTATGCAAGACTGCAAAAGAATCAATTTGTTTTCACATTACCATTTCTTAGAAAGCTGCAATAATGCTTGACCTCAACAAATTTGTATAATTAGAACTATAAGCTCCTGATGAAGACACTCCTGCAGTTACAAGTCAGCATTGCGAAAAAAATTTAGAACACTTTATGGCGGAGCTTTTAAAGCTTCTAACCTACCAACTTACTAGAAAAGGACATCACAGAAAACCACGGCACCGCCTATGCAGGCTTTTGGCTTTGCGGTCTCAAACAAAGTCCTGCAAAATCAAACTAATAAACTAAAAAGGTCTTATTAGACATCAGTACTGTTTCGCGCAGAATCTCTCCACCTAACTGAGCAGAATTTTTAAACGTAAAAAAATTTCTGATCACTAAATACAGCCCATAACGCTTTTCTTTGCACCACTACAACCTGCTCCGTTTCACTCCGGACAGCTCCACCCTCGCGATTAACTAAAAAAAAACTATTCAAGTGTAATCGTTGATTCGACACTCAGAATAGATTCCTTGCCTGTCAATTAGCTAGTCCCGAAGAGAAATGCTGAAATACTTCTGGTCTTTCATTAAAATGCAGATGAAGGAGTCCCCAATAGCTAAGTAAGAAAGTAACTAGGTGCTAAGTATAAAGTTATTAGGCAGTAAATGTTTGTAAAACTAGTTTGAAAAAAGCACCTTTAAAGATCTCCACTACAAACCACGACTTGACATACCTAGTGACCACAATATGGCCTTTGTTATAAAAACCAAAAGTGCATTACCCTCTTTCCAGTTCCAAGCGTAGAATACTTACAAACTCAAAAATAACAAAAAAACAAGCTTTGACAGTCTAGAAATAAATCTCCTTTTTTATTAAATAGATAAACTAATCAAAACAAAAAATACTCGTTTCACTGTTTTTTTACAAAAAATACCCGTTTTACTGCACGAATAACCAGACTCCACTCCCTTATATTGTACAACACCAAAAATAATTTTAATAGCCTGTACAAGACCTCAGGACAGTAAGTTAAGAATTGAAAAAAACCAAAGATAGAGAAAAAGATGTGAAGCAAAATGAAAAAACTTACCATACATAAAATTCTAGTTTTCTTTCGTTCCATTTCTCCAACTTAAGTAATGCAGAAACCTTCTGGTTTCGCAGAAGAAAAGTCACCAATTGAGATGATATTCTACTGCAAGCAAGCAAAGATATACTTCACTAAAAATGACCGTAATAAGTGAAAAGTGCAACACATATAGCCTAGCTAGGACTGCAGTGCATTTCCTGAGGTAAAGCAGTGATACTGCTTCTAATAGCACTCCCAAGTCCCTCTGAACAAGAAGCCTTTTTTTAATAACATATTTCTTCTCTTTTTACATGGCGCCATTACTCTGTTCACTCGCATTAATCCTTATCCTACTTACGCATTACTTTCTTAGTCTCAAACATCTATCTTCAGACTGTCGATTGCCGCCACCGTGCCCACTTGATGCGACCTCACTATGACAAAGTTAGTGTCAATGAGTGGGAAATTAGTTATGCTGAGATAGTGGTTTTAACGTGGATTCACCAAAAGTTTATCTCGCGTAAATTTTTCAAACAAGATTTTGACCATTTTGATGGGTCTCAAAAGGCTTGCTTACTGCCATCCGTTTCTCAATTTACGCAGAACCCTTTAACTCGCTGCGAACAGTCAGCATAGTAAAGTTACGCTGTGAAACCTTGTACAAAGGTAGGTCAGAACCTAGCATATTCTCAAGGCCAACAGCTGAAAAATTAGAAACCCAATCACTACAATTCTGCAAAGTCCACAAAATAACGAAGGCAAAGTTTCAAACACGCCAATCAGTAAAACTGTGAGTTTGAGGCAAAATGGCCAAACTGATGAGAAATTTTTATGACAAATAATGACAAATTTTAATTTAAAAAAAAGACACGCGAAAACAAAAACAGCAAAAACACCGTGCCGTCATGCTAAACCTACACTTGCAATGAGCCACTGCCATTTGTGACGAACCAGCAAGGAACCATAAAGAAAGTATAAGAAACCTGCTAATAAATCGCAGCAAGTTAGATGATGAAAAATGCTTTCGCATTCGACGCGTTGACGGAGCAGTTAAGAAGTTTTTAGAGTCAGGCAAAATGCGAGGAAGCCCGCTTCCGTGCTTTCGGGCAGCTACGAAGTGACCCATAAAACGGAGTTCCAGTCGGCTATTAGGCTACAAATATGAGCGGTTATTCTGCTTTATTTAACTTCAAGAAACTCTTGATGATTCTAAAACGATGATTCCAATGTGCTTCTGACGTGGTACTTCCAGTACAGCAGTGCTGTAAGTAGAAAAATGCTTCTTTACATTCTTTGATTCATAGGTACTGCAGTCACAAAGTCGCTGTAGCAG